GCGTGGCTTTGGAGGGTGATTGCAGGGAGGGTGGGACGTTCGCTTTCAGTGCTATCAGGCTAAAGTTAACATTGTCCAAGATCTCCTACTGCACCTTTAAATAACTAAATAACATTCTGCAGTATTTCTGAACAAACAAGTAAATTTGTGACATTGTGTCTAACCTGTACGGGTAGATTGTCTATGAGAGAGATGATGCCGAAGATGACTAGCAGAGTGTTCGTAAGGATGAAAGCTCTGATGGCGTTGGTGAGTTTCTGGATCTTTCTGTCCCTTTTTGGAGGCTCAGAGGGACTGAAGAAAACAACAAAAGGAACCAGTTAACAATGTAACTGACATATCAAAGTAATTGAACATTTCTCTCCTTCTCTTTCAACAACCTTCACCTTTTTTCTCCCTCTGCTGAATTCACCACGTCCTCACACTCCTTCATTCTCCAGTCCATGATGTAGCCAATCAGAGGACAGGAGACCAGGCAAAGCATCTGAAGAGTGCCAAAGATGGACGAGTAGAGATTCACTATAACACACACACACACACACACACACACACACACACACTCTCTTTATATTCCATTCACTATACAAACACTTCCCTGAATAATGTTGCCATATAATCCTGATATTGCACTGCCTGATGCTTATACTGATACAGTACATATTAACACATTAAACCAAATAAATGAAACTAGATTTTTTTTATCAGAAGTAATTTAACTTTAGCAAGTCAATGGCTACCATCAACTGTTTGTTTACAGACATTCTTCAAAACATCTAATTTTGTGTTCAACAGAAGAAGGAAATTCATAGGTTTGGAACAAGTGGATGGTGAGCAAATGAAGAAATTTCATGTGAGGGTGAACGGTCCCTTTAAGTGTGTCATAAGTGTCCAAATATCTGTTTGTTACAAAACCAAAATAAAAATAATATGACTTTTCTTACCTTTCTCCTCTGCCTCCTTCACCAACTCCTCTGAGGCTAAACAGACACATACAGGAAGTGAAAATAATGCAATATAAAGCCAATTTAAACTACTAACTTTACTACCCACTTACAAACACCCACCACTAACACATGCTTCTGCAAAACTATAGCAAACGTCTGTAGGCTTGTGCTGATTACATTTACCCGTCCATAAGCAAAGTTATGAAAACACATTTCAAAGAACAAAATCATTTTCTTTCATATTTTTTAATTTCATTAAAAACAAATGATTTAAATGTTTAGCTGATACTCACGATTAGGGTCAGCATGGGTAACAAGGAACTCCAACATCTTATTCATGGCACCCATGAAAAAAATGACACGGAGCTGGGTCATCGCCATTGTGATGATGCTCCACAGGAAAATAGGTGAGCACACAGAACGATAAAAGCGAGGAGATCCTGCTGTCCAAGCATTGACAACAGAAAGATTATTTTATGATCAGATTCACAATCCTTTGGTGTTTTTGTAGACAGTGTGTTTGTGAGACTTGCCCTGGCTCTGAGCAGCTGTTCCATCGCTGGGAGCTTCATCAGTGGAAGGTTGTTGTTTGGTCACATCTTGCTCTTTAGGAGTCTCCTGAGTGAAAGAACTTTCTTCAGTCATCTTTTGGTCCACTACTTCACTTCTCAACTTCACCATTGTACTGTGAAATCCAGAGTAACAGAAATTCATGTACAGTTTTACAATAATAGACACAATTGTTTGTGTATATATTGTGAATGCTGTATATTTTAATTCTTCTGATACCGCTGTTCAAAAGGTTGGGGTCAATGTTTTTAAAGTCTCTTACACTCACCGAGGCTGCATTTATTTGATAAAAAAAAATATTTTATCAAATATCAAATTGATGAGAGTTCAGACTAACCGTTTTCTATTTTAATATATTGTCAAATATATTTTATTACTGTGATGGCAAAGCTGAATTTTCAGCATCATTACTCCAGGCTTCAGTGTCACATGATCCTTCAGAAATCATTCTAATATGCTGATTTGCTGCTCAAAACATCATATTGTTATCAATATTGAAAACAGTTGTGCAGCTTCATCTTTTGGTGGAAACAGTGATATTTTTTCCAGGACTTTCGATGAATACAAAGTTCAAAAGAACAGCTTTTGAAACAGAAATCTTTTGTAATATTATGTATTAGTCTTTACTGTCGCTTTTGATCAACTGAATGCATCCTTGCAAAATAAAAGTATTCATTTCTTTAAAAAAAAAAACGTACCGACTCCAAACTTTTGAATGCTAATACATGCGTAAATGTAAAAAATAACAATCACATTAGGTGTGATGTTTAGGTCTTGTAATTTTTTAGGCATATAGTGTATGTATTTGGCATGTACTGACGTGTATCTGATGTCCTCAGGGCCAGGAAAAGATTCTCCCGGCCAGTTAATAAAGCAGTTGAGGAAGACGAGGCAGGCAGATCCTGCCCATACCCAGAATATAACAGAAAAAGAGACGCCCACATCATAGATCAGCTAGAGGACAAGACAGAAAGAGTCATGTTCATATGCTGCACTGCAAGACAAACGTATTTGTGCATAATGTCCAAATACAAATAAGTTGTTTGATCTTGTTAGTAGCCTAATTAAACAATCTCTACCTTGACTCCTGGAAAGGTGACAGCAGAGGAGGCGTACGAGCCAATCATGAGCGAAAGAATCGTAGACCGCACATTTCCAAACATATTTGGCAACTGAGAAAATCAAACATGAAGAAAAGAATCATACATGAATGTTCTAATGTATGTATTCAAACTGTAATGTTTGTCTATTGCCACTAGAGAGCATTATGAGCTTGAAGTTAGAAATAGCCTTTTTCAGCCACAAAATATGTGAAGACAACTCCTCATGCAACGATGTTCTAGCCTGTAGAATTTCGCCATACATGTGGGTGTTTGCTACTGCTTATACTTCAAAAGTTTGATGATGATATGTACATCAATAAATAAATGCAGAATTTAATTTATTTGTTATTTAAATATAATTATGAATAATATACATGTAGTACATTAAATAAATGATATGCAAAAACAAATAAAATAATATTAATATATATAAATTAATGATATATAATAAATTTATATATAAATAATAATATGATAATATAATTATTTTTGAAAAGTAAATCCGTATATTAGAATGATTTCTGAAAAATCATGTGACACTGGAGTAATGATGCTGAAAATTCAGCTTTGCCATTGCAGGAATAAAATGTATTTCAAAATATATTCAAATGGAAAACAGTTATTTTAAATGATAGATATATATATATATAAATCAATTAAAAAACAACAACATTTTGAATGGTAGTGTGTATATACACACACACACACACACACACACACACACACACACACACACACACACATTAAA